ATTCAATAACTATTTATTTTTTCATTCAATTAATATGGCCATCCATCTCAAACATATAACTTTAGTAGCTAACAAAATAAAAAAAATCAATAAAACATTTAAAAAACAATAAATAACAAATATAAGGCAGGTAAGATACGATCAACCAACACAATGACATAATTGAGATACAGGCTCAACTACATAACCTGGGCCTAAGAATAAACAACAAAACCAGGTTTTTAAGGCCTTACAGAAAGCCTATAGAGTCAGGGCAAATCTACTCTTTGAAGGAATGATGTTCTAGAGAATGGCAGCATAGCAGAAAAGGCTACCTCAATCCCTAATAGATGGGACTTGGAGCATGTCTTTTCTGCTGGATCTCATGGTAGATACAACTGGGGAGATTACCCCAAAAATAAACTGGTCCCAGACTATGAAGAGCTTTGGATATCACTAGCAGCACTTTAGAAGCACACTGGAAGACAACATAGCTCGCAGAACGTAGCCATCATATGTGCCAAGCAAAAGATGCCCTCAAATGTTTGTGCCACAATAGCTCATGCCTCCAGAAGCTATACAAAGGCAGCCCTATTCTGAGAGTTATGTGATGTCTTGGGGCAACAGACTATAAATCTATATATTAAAGATTTACTCATATTAATAAGCAGAATAAGGTACATTGACTTATGACAGACATTTGCTTATGAAAAATCATCATCATTCAAATATTCACTATTTCAATAAATGAAAGAAGTCTAATTACCTTTAGAGAACGTGAAGTCTGAACTAATGTAATATAATTCACCATACCAGTCTTAGAGAAAAGTATTCAAGGGTCCTTGTATATGGTGGAATTTGTAAAGCTATGTGTCAACACTGCTAACATTAGATGTTCTTGCTTTTACAACAGATGAAAATGTAGCCATCTTTTCTCTACTGCTTTTAGAGTTCGCTGATGCTGGGAGGGGGACTGTGGATGAGAGTCCAGCTAGTCATAACAATAATAACTCAGCCGGTGGGAACCGAAGGTTATTGCACCCAGAGTTGATAAAGATTTGGCGGGCTGGAGAGCTGGGGAGAAAGCCCATGCTTCAAGCTAATTGGGAAATGTGATTTATGACTGTTAACTGGAGGAGGGAATTGTGCTTTACTACTTTGTGCTAAGGGGAGAGGAATTCAGTTTTTGGCTTTAACTGTGTAGTGCCGATACTTTGTTTCTAGAATAAAAGATTCTTTAAAGTAAACAATGCCTCAAAGTTCTTTTGAAGAGTTTCATCTGTCGGAACCATGACACTGTGATGGTTATGAGCTTTTAAGTATATGCAAAATAGTATGGGAAAATATTCACAGAAATACAGTAAATTGCAAACAAATTATTTTAAAACTCCACTGAATACCTGGAAAAATGCTTTTAGAACTACATATATTATACTTGGATAAATTCTTCCAGTAGATTTTTTTTTTAAAAAAATCATCGGTTATATTAAATCTTGCTTCATACGACAGCAGTCAAATAATAACTACGCTGCTGCTAAAACAAAAGATTTGACATTTATTAGAATCATTCTTTGTTTCATATTTCCATCATATAGCAATATTAATAAAGCATGACTTCAGTCACTATCTATATCCTTAACCTTAAGTAAGAGCTCCAAGGGTGTTTGTCAGTATTTATCAAATAAACATATCCCTTTTATGACTTGTGGACTTCAACTCCCAGAATTCCTCAGCCAGGATGCTGGCTGAGGAATTCTGGGAGCTGAAGTCCACAAGTCATAAAAGGGTCAAGTTTGAAGACCCCTGTTTTACAAAATGACTACCATATACAGTACTAGTGCATGTTGCAGTAGCAAGCTAAGAAGGATTCGCCCTGTCATCTGGAATACAAAAAAAAACTTAGTATGAAAACCTTTTGCTGAAAATCTGGAAAATCATAGTGAGTGAAGTGGACAATATCAGATGAAATGAATCAATGATCCAACTTAGGATACAGCTTCAAATATATTACTGATAGTTATCCTTGTAAACTCCCAGATTATATTACAAGATAGATGCCACCAAATAAACAAAGTGATCTTTCTTCATTTCTTCATCTTTTTATATTTTGTAAAAAAAACCCACATGCAAGTTATTTCTAATTTGATTTTCTTTGTTTGTATTTTATTGGGGCTTAAATACAGAAATCTAAAGTGACAGCATAAAAGAACATTTTAGAAAAAAGATAGGCAGCAATCAGATGGCCAAGCCAGTTTGGCACTGCAACTCATGAGATCAAAGGCTTCCTTCATCTCTTTGCTAATTCCTAAACCACCTGTCCATTAGAATAGTTAATTAGGGCATGCCTAATCTCTGAGAAGGTTATTAACACAAAATGGTGCTCTGTTTTATAAAATATACAGCAGCTTCATTGGTGATAAATATGATAAATGTTCTGGGACTTTCTAACTATTCAGTTTCATTGCACCAGGAAGCCTACCACACAAATTATCAAGTTCAAATGTGCAACTAAACTTGTGTTGCCATGACAAGGATAAGAGAGTTTTTTGAAAAACAGTGTATTTGACAGCATGCTTTTGTGGTTTTTGTTATTTTGCAAATTTCCATGGAACACTGTTTTCAGTGACATTTATGTTCTTTTCTTTGACCTTAGTTGCAATAATGATATCTATCCCTCTTGAACTTTATTAATACTTGCAGGAAATGACTTTAATGACTATTTGTTTCAATGAAAAGATACAGAAAGAACTTTGATTACCAAAATAAATACTCTTCTGAGCTGCCTACATCAAGTTGCCATTTTCCCTATGAGACCATAATTGTTGTTATTTTCTAGTTTCTGAAAGAAAAACATACTCATTTCCTCTGAATCTTATCTGTAGTATTTTCAGAATGCCATATCTATTTCAGAGAATGTTTTTTTTCTCTCTCTCTCTCTAAAGATACATAATCTTGACAGGATCTTCTTTTTTCTACTACCAACAGTAAAAGCATGGGATACTATTCTTGCTTTTTGGCTCTCAATTGATGAAATCACCTGCCAGGGATTTTTTAATACTTTGAACATTGTCTGGTCCACAGCATCTTTTTCTCAGTGTTTGGGGCAGCATTCAGCCAATCTGGTATCTTTCAGACATATGGACTTCAATTCCCAGAATTCTCAGTATGGCCATTAAGGCTGAAGAATTCTGGGAATCAAAGTGCACTCATTCAGGGTGGGCCTTAGCTAAAATCAATTTCAGAAAAATTGATTTTTTTTCATCCTCCAATATCTTCTTAGTGTGGGCTGCATGTATTTCTTTTTAATGGCTTATTAGACACTGAGGGATTTTCATTTTGGGACATATGCAGAGGTGATGCTACCAGGGGTCACTATTTGAGAAGAGACATTACAAAATAGAGATGAGTTAATGTGCCTGGAAGAACAGCTTCAGCAGACCCAAACAGCATTCCACTAAACTAAGCATTGATCAAAATATAACCTGGTTCATATAGTAAATTTGGCTAAATTTGATTATGCTTAGCATACTGCCTGAATGAAGTGACATTGCCCAAATTTGGTCAAGGTAGAAAACTTTAACAAAGCATCAACTTGTCTCATTTAACTTAGAATGGCTTTAACTTCAACTATTCTATAACACTCTCATTTTTTGGGGGGGTGTTATTTTTAAAAAAATAATGTCAGCTGCTGGCCGGTTCATTGATCTGGGAAAAGAGAGACTAACGAACCATTTTCAGGAACAGTTTGTGTGATAGTCTGTGTTATAGTTCATGAACTGTATACTTAATCCACTGCTGGATTACATTTAATCCACTGCTTCATGTGAAACATAGCCAATATGCAAGTTATTCTGACTATATATAGGCCATCGTTTTTCCTTATCTTCAGACATATGATGTATATGTTTACTACAAATATCTTGACAAAGATTCTGTGCTTTGGTTAACTTATGAAGCCAGAGTCATATATCAATTATGGTGGAAAATATTAGATCTATTAGATATTTGAAATATTGGTTAATCAAAAAGTGGTGCTGCAAATCTAATGCATAGAGACTGTGGAAAAAAATATGCATTTCTCACTTAAGTAATGTTTCTCTATGAAACTAGGAAATATTGCAGTAGTCAACAGAAAACTTCAGCAAATAATCTAATTTACTACATACATCTCTAATGGAGAAAAATGGGACGGCAATGTTGACTGTAAGGGAGAGACAACAGACTGAAAATAATGTATATTTTTACTTTGTACCTCCACTTAAATAAAGAGCTACTACACTGAACTGAGAAATTTGTTCTACTTTTGCATTCTTTTAATGAAATAAGAGGTTCATAAGGTAGACAAGGGAAGGCATCTCCCACTGCAAGTTAAAGTATGTGCAAAAGAAAAAGATGAAACGTCATGCTTGTTTTAGAGTGGATGCTAAATTGAACAGAATAGGTCTCATTTAATCCAAATTCATAATTACTCAAATCACTGTGGATATAAATCATTTTACTTGCAACTAAACTGTTGAATAACATCTTCAATAAACTTTACTCCAAATTATTAAGTTGAAAAAAGTATTAGACCAGAAGAGGATACTTATCTTCAATTTTTTTTTTCTGGTGCTTGTTTCATAATGGTATCTAGCTGTGGCAAACAAATAGGATTATATAATTTTAACAAACTGGTACATATTTCATGCAGGGAGCAATGAACAAAAGGTTTTTCATAATGGGAGGTCTGATTATAATTCTAACTTTTAAAGTTAGAATACATGGCATCTCTTAATTTTAATAAATACCATACATTTTTCTGCAAGCACAAAATCAATCCTCTCAGCTCCCTTTTACAAAACATTCATACTCCCACACATTTTGACATGTGTTTGCAACTGACTACAATTATGCCAACTGTATTTTTAATTCATGGCATCAAACAAAACTATAAATGAATTAATTATCTATTACAATCAAATGCCAAATTGATTCTGTCTATAAAAAATTAATTAAAATTTAGAAAATGGAATTATTTATACCTTTTACAGTTAAGTACACCTGCATGGTTCTGGGCGTATGTTGGGTCTGCACTGAACAAGTATATAGACCATCATCTGACACATCCACATTCTGTATCTGGAGACTGTATTCCCTTTTATTTGCTGTTGCAATTGAAACTCGAGGATCTACTGACCACTTGTCTCCTCCTGCAAAAATAATACTTGATCGATTCAGCCAGGCACCTTTTGAAGCTCCATCTTCCAAGTAACATCTGTAAATTAAAAAAAAAAAGAATGCAATTAATAGAATGATCTTAGTTGCCTTTTAATGTTACTCATAACTTACGTAGTTATGAAATGATACTTTTCTAGAATAGAGAATGGCTACATTAAGAATTGCCACTAATGTCTGATTTATAAATATTTCTAGAAATTTTGTTTCTTCTTAGAATAAATATCCCAAGGATTTGAAGTAAATTAAAAAAAATTCTAGTAACAACATTCCCTAATGCTTCGTTGTTCACCCATTCCTTGTTTTTTAATGACAGCGAAATGCAGATATTTGAAATTCTGATCATAAATTAGAATGATTTTTATGTATTAGGTTTATATAAGACATTTGATGAGGTACTATGATCCGAATTGACTATTATTTTGTTCTTCTGAAAAAGACCCAAAAGAAATACAAGCAACTAATCAGTCATGAACCAAGACTTTAAAAGACCTTGTTACATATTCCAAATATATTTTCTTGCCTATTTTCAGAACCAAAATATTAGAATAAGCAATTTTCTTATCTGATCTACTATGTATTACTCACATTTGTTATATTAATGTGTGCTAGAGCATTTTTTTTTTTTAAAAAAAAACACTTTAAAATTGGCAAAGAAGATAAATTTACCAGTACCTCAATGGTAGTGATTCCAGTAATTTCTATAGCAAATGATGAAATTTTAGTATATTACCTATTTCATCTAAAATAACTTTTGAATAATTAGAACACTGCAGTACAAAATTCAATACAATGCAGAAATTCTATTTTTATTAACGGAGCCAATACATCTTAGGAAGGAACAATACTTTAGTCAGTGTGTCAGACTTCCGCCTCTCTAAGCTTTTGAAAATGCTCCATCACAGATTGAAGAGTGGCTCTTTTAAATGAGCACAGTACATCTCACAAATGAAATACACATCCATTGGAAAAGGTTTGACAGAATATCTACATAGTCCCTCAGGGGTTAGAACACCATGCTGAAAATTGCTACAAAATCCCAAGCTGAATTCAACAGAGTAAGTCACTGCCAACAGTATGAAACTAATCAGTTCAAAAATAAGGAACAAGATATTGCACAGAATCTAATTTACAGCCACTTTCATTCTCATGCTGAAACAAAAGCACAAGGAGTCCTCGTAGATTTGTATTAAGAAAGATTGGATCTCCATATTTATTTAAAGATATACAGCCAGATTTCTAAAATTTTAAAGTAACTGCACAGTATTATGCATATATGATTAATGCATGACCATTATTCTGAAGTTATGAGGCATCTCATTGTCTTTTGAAAAGCCTATTCATATATTTAAAATTAAGGATGTTTCTAACAGCAAATTATAAGGAATTTCTTGTTAGGAAACATGCAGCCAGGCAGGGAAGAGGATTCAAGCAAAGGATTAGCCTGGAATTATTATGCAGCCACAGGAGATCTCGGACTAACCATAAGCTCCACAGAACCTTACCTATCTGTCCCCAAATGAAAGAAAGCAATCTGGGAAGATTCCTGTATTACAGGCAGAATACAGCAAATAGTTAGTTAGCTTGGACTCTATATGTGTGCATCTGGTTGTTTTCACCTGACATTTCTAGCATGTTGTAAAAATATATAAAATGGCTTAATATAAAATACCTATTCTGGATCTATTCAGAAGGAGGACCCTTATACATCTTATTTTTAATTCCAATAAATTGTATTACCTGCTTCTATCTTGAAAGGCTACACCTACTATCAGCCATTCTGGCTTCACCAAATATTACAAAGGATGTGTCATTAGTGTCCCTGCTCAAGTCCTGCTCTGATGTCTCATAATGAAAAGGAGTTCCTGGGAGGGACAGATAAAGTATCCTGGGACTCTATGAGAAGAGGATATATTGTCTGCAGAGACACCCATGACATGAAACTGTCCAGCAGTGGTTATATTGAGCAGCACCAATAAAGCAGGATGGTGAATGATCATCTCAGTGACAATGGCAAAGGGATCATATGATACTTTGAGAAGAGGGAGTCAAGCTATTTTCCAAGGCCCCTGAAGGCAAGACAAGAAGCAACGGATAGAAGCTAATCAAGGAGAGAAGCAACCTAGAACTAAGGAGAAACTTCCTGACAATTAGAACAATTAACCAGTGGAACAACCTGCCTCCAGAAGTGGTGAATGCTCCAATACTGGAAGTTTTTAAGAAGAGACTAGACAGCCATTTATCTGAAATGGTATAGGGTTTCCTGCCTGAGCAGGGGGTTGGACTAGATGACCTCCAAGGTCCCTTCCAACTTTATTATTATTATTATTATATGGCAATGGTAAAGTACTCCTGTATTGTACCAAATTAATTGAATGGGCAGACAAGATAAAATGACTGAAGATATAGTGCAGAGTGTTAGAATTAGCAGGCTGAATAGTCCTCAACATGCTTCTGAGGAAGAGCTGAAGATCTTTCATCACATGTTGTATGTGATGTGACTAGATTAAAACCCTTTAGGATGTCTAGTTCCCATTGTTGCCATGCAGGAAAAGGACATTCAAAGCTGTAGAGAGAGAACTACAGTGGGAACATGGGAAGTAGGGAGAATGAGTATTAAAAAAGCTCAGCATAGACAGACAATCATACAATTTACTATTAAGGACATCGAAACCAAAGAAAAAACAGCATTGCTTTCAAAATTGGGAAGGATATAACAAAGACATTATTTGGGTACAGTGCAGTTAATGAGCAAATAATATCCATTACATTTCACAGACAACCCTAATTATTATTATATTAGCCAAACTCATGCTCTAACCCAGTGGTTCTCAACCTTTTTAATGCCGCGACCTCCAACTGGTCGTAAGTCGAGGACTACTCAACTGGTCGTAAGTCGAAGACTACTCAACTGGTGCAGCACCATTTGCAAAGTGGGACTTTTGGCGGGCTCAGCAGGGCAGAGACAGCCTGGACAATTCCTATTGGCTTTCAAAAGCCAATAGAATAAAAGGGAGTAGCACAGCTAAGGAAAAGGGGGAAAAAATGGCAGACTGCGTTGTTTGGCGACCCCCGTGAAATGGTCGTTCGACCCTAAATGGGGTCCCAACCCACAGGTTGAGAAGCACTGCTCTAACCATTGATGCAGAAAAAGAAGAGTTTGACAAGTTAATGGTCAGATTCAATCTAAAGTCAACAGCACATGCACACAAGATGCGCTGTTGGTGATTAGAGACAGGAATACCAAAGTTGGAAACACTAAAGAGGAAAATGTAGTTGGATTGTATGGCCTAGGACAGGGTAGGCAACCTTGGCTTGTTTATGACACGTGGACTTCAATTCTCAGAATTCCTGAGCCAGCATGGCTGGCTCAGGAATTCTGGGAGTTGAAGTCCACAAGTCATAAAAGAGCCAAGGTTGCCTACCCCTTGCCTAGGAAAAAGAAATGACATAGGATAAGGATGTATACATTTCTGCCACATTTCTCATTGCTATTACAGATTCTCACTTAGTGATCCTAATTGGGATGGCAACTCTATTTTGAAGTAAAGTGGTCATTAAGTGATAAATCATATGACTATGATTGTGCTTTCCAGCTGGAAAGATACAATGCTACTCAGTTTCACATTTTAGGCTTTTGTTTGCCCTCAACCACTGTCTTATCCTTTGGAATGCCTGCGTGCCTGCTTACTGTCTTGTACACATCAAAAGAAATGCAAGTGTGCTGGCAGCTCTGGAGCATGGGCACACTATGCAAACAGCTTATTCCCTTGAAATCTTTCCTCTCCAATCCTTTGATCTGTGGGAGAAGTACTAGAGGAAAAAAAGCAAGCAGGCAAAAGGAAATTGTAGGCAATTTCTTGTTTCTTGACTCTTCTACTGCCTATGCAATTGCATTGTTTTTGATATGAGAAGAGCTAACAGCTTACTCTCTTGCAATCTTTTGCTCTGCAATCTCTCTGCTCTGCAAAAGAATCATAGAGTAACACACGGACACAAACACATACGTATACATACACCAATACTGATGAGTGATGAAGAAATGTTAGGAAAATTGTGAGAAGATATCAAAGGAAAGGTGTAAAGAATTATTTACTAAATTCCTTTTTAGGTTAGAGCAATTTTTCTTAAAGTCTGGTCTCAGGATAACTGAGAAGTCCCCCCAAACCTTCTCAGGGTTCTGCAAAATCAAAATGATTTGTCGGATGTTGAAAATATTTGCAAAAAATTTAAAACACTGTCATTCTTCTCTGGTGGCTCAGTGGTTAGAATGCAGTACTGCAGGCTACTTCTGCTGCCTGCCAATTGCCAGCAATTTAGCAGTTCCAATCTCATCAGGCTCAGGGTTGACTCAGCTTCCATCCTTCCGAGGTCAGTAAAATGAGGATCCAGATTGTTGGGGGCAATAGGCTGACTCTGTAAACCGCTTAGAGAGGGGCTGTAAAGCACTGTGAAGCGGTATATAAGTCTAAATTGCTTCTTGTTATTGCTATTGCTATTATTCTTTACTTTTTAAAAACCTATAAAGTTTTCTTAAAGAATATTTTGTTAATATTGTTATAAAATATTTTTATTTATGATAATAATGCTAATTTTATGTGACTCAATAAACATTCTATGAAAAATCAATTTAAATTTCTAATACAATAAATATCAATAAATTTTGGTCACTATATCACAAAAAAGATGTTGAGAGTTTGGAAAAAATTCAGAGAAGAATAACTAAGATGATCAAAGCCCCGGAGACTTAAACATATGAAGAACGGTTGCGGGACTTGGGTTTGGGTTTGGCTAGTCTAATGAAAAGAAGAAACAGGGGAGACATAATAGCAGTATTCCAGTATTTGAGGGGCTGCCACAAAGAAGAGGGGGTCACGTTATTCTCCAAAGCATCAGAGGGAAGGACGATGGTTGGAAACTGACCAAAGAGAGAAGCAACCTGGAATTAAGGAGAAAGTTCCTAATAGTGAGGAAAATTAACCAGTGGAACAGCTTGCCTCCAGAAATCGTGGGCACTCTATCACTGGAGAAGAGGCTACA